CTTCTAAGAAGTTACTACTAGCTACTAAGGTTGCTTAATCCTTAGGCAATCGATAAAGATAGATAGCTATAGCAGTTCGCTACTATGTCGGTTGTTATATAAGAGCAATAATAGGCTCTAGTTTAAGGTCTACTACTATACGGAGGTCCTTTTTACTACCCTTATAAAACGTTCTTAATTACCTTATAATGCTATACTAACTGCTATCGTCCCTCTACGTTTGCCTCACCTATGTATTAACCGCTAAGTTGCTATACGAAGCGGTTAACTTAGCTGTTTTAAATGCACCTCTTATATTCCGCATTATAGTGTTTATCTAGTTCGAAATATTACTAGCCTTATCCTTATTACCGGTAACTAGCTATACTTTATCCTCTTGTTCCTTGCCCTTCTTATAACATAGGCCTATCCGGTATACTAACGGCTTATCTCTAAGTAGCGGCTTAGAGCGTAATATTAACACTATACGTTCGCTTAGCGCTACTGCTAGCGATACTCGTAGCCGGTTTAATAGACTAGCTACCGCCGCTATAGCAACAACAACAGGCTCTTTGCCCTAACCCTTCTTCCGCTTCTTCGTTAGAGCGGCGATAGCTATATTAACTAACTTCTAAGCAGCGTACGCCGCATTAGCTTCCTTAGCTAACCGGCGCTAGCGTTCCTTCTACTTCTTAATCTTCCTCTTTTTATACCGTTATTTAAGGAACTCTACGTATTCTACTTCCTTATACTCTTCCGTAATCCTCGCTTCTTCTACTATACTCTCTTCCTTATTACGCGCTCGAAGCTCTGCTAACTCCTCCTTAGTATAGCGACAATAGACGGATTCTAGTTCTACCGTGCCTCCGCGCTTAATTAAGGGCACTAGAGTTACGAACAATAACTGCTAAGAGCGCTTAGAACCCTCCGTAATATTACTTAGCCTTACTATTGTTTCTATAGCTAACACGGCTTTATCTAGTTCCTTATCCTATATTACGTCTAGCGGCTCCGGTTCCTTTTTAAACTCTATTAACTTCCGCCTCTTTAGCTTTATCGCGTTAATTATAGCCTACGCTTTAGGCCTACGCGACATAGAGCGCTATAACCTCCGTAATACCGGCTAAGTAGAAGGGGGAGGTATATAGCGTAGTAATAATAGCTATAGCGTGTCCGGTAGTAAGGAAGGGCGTAGAGGGCGCTCTTTACGCGGTAGCGAGGATAGTAGCGAAGAAGGGCAACGCGACGAAATATTAATAGCCTCTTAGCTCTAATCTAGCGGCGTAGGTATAGCGAACGACGAACAACACCTTTTAAGAAGCCTTAGCAGCGACACGGACAGGTATATTAGCCTAATTAAGACAGTTAGGGGTGGTAGAGGGCGGTGTAGTACTAATATTAGTAGTAGGGCTCTCTAGCTTCCCCGCGGGAAAGGATCCGAGTAGTAAGGGTGTTAGTGCTAGCGTTCTAGTCAGTCGCTAATGTAAGGTAGCGACAAAATCACGCGGTAGGCCTTTTATAATAGGATTGATCTAATAGGTTTTCGCTGTCTGTCGTCGTAGGTTGTCGTGAAGTCCGCATATCGTGGATTACCATAACTCACTCGTTAGCTATCTGCTGCGGCAAATTGATAGCTTTTTTTTTTTCTTTCGTCGTTGGACAATGTTTTGACCACTACACACATCTTCTTCCAAGCATTCATTCATTGGCCCGTGGATATAAAGTCCATGTGGAGACTGATGAATGATGATTCCACCTGCTGGTGTGACTGACAGAGATATCACCCATACAGATTTCGGCACCGGGGAGGCCTATGTAGCGTTGCGGCGAATTGCATGTATTCTAGAGCATTGCCTTCTCCTCCGCGTAACTTACTTTGGAGCCTGATTTATCTTTTCGAAACAGTCTCTCCTCCATCTTTGTGAGATTCTTGCAGCCACTCACTTTCAAAAGCTGTAGAGGTCAGAGATGCCTTGAAATTGGAGGTCAGCCCCGCTCTTGTCGTGAGTGTGTCGTTGGGAGACATGGATGATGATGATGATGATGATGACGGACGTGTGTGCAGTTACGACGCGAGGAGGGAGGTTTCTCCAAGCTATCGAATACAGTCTTGTAGTGAGGAAAAGGAGGAGAATACCCTAACCCTAACCCTAATAGGTCAGATGGAGGGTGGGTGCTATTAGTCATCTTCGGCCTTTCCTGGCGTGAACGTCAGCGATCGTGCCAACCCAACTCCTCCAACAAGTTAGAAAGCCCGCCCTAACAGAGTGAAGCTCATTTGCAGTACAATTTATGCCAATGGATCTGTTGAGCGAGCACCAACAGTGGTGAAAAGTCGGCATGAGTGAGTCGGCCGCAGTGCTCAGTACAGGAACATACATGGCGACAGGCGTTGCAGTATAGAGGGAGCGGATGGCTGGTAGGGCAATAATTGGGATGATGGAATTGGCGTGCTGGAAGTTCATCCTCGGTCCGCTCGTCCTACCGTACACGCATTTTTCGTCGGATTGGCTTCATCAAGCTGCTACGATGCCTTAGCTTGGGCCGTCACAAACTTCGCGGGAGCCGTTACGTACGGGAGGGACGTTATCATTCCGACGCATCACAGCGAGATGCTACAGATGATTGGCTCAACCCCCAACAAGCTTTGCTTTCCGGTCTATCGCGTACATTATTGAATGATGAAAGGTTGCATGTATGTGAACTTTCGAAGAGTCTACTACTATATATTAAGCAACTCGTAGTGGAAATCGACAATTTTTAGTAGCCTGGCCCTTATCGTCGACGACAGCTCTTTATTTAAACAACAAACTGCAAGCGAGTCTTGCTTAATTCGATGGAAGAGCTGCGCATATTAGATCCCATATATCCGCTTCTTTGACTCTTTATCAGCACAGAACGGAACTCCTGGTATCGAATTCGACATCATCAGCTGTCGAGATGGACTTCATCTCTTTGACTATCGAGTGGATGCAGAGGCACAGGAGTGAGTACCCTTTCCAAATCGCCAGATTCACTAAACTCATCATGTCTTAGCCTACGCACGCATCTGCTCCGCTCTTATCATTGGCGCTGGCGCCTATGCCATCCTCTCGTACGTCGACACACAAAGCTYTCATCACATGGAGCTAGGTACTGACGCCTGCAGGCTGCATTCGATAACTTGGAGGATCTTCGTTGGGATCGTTTGCGGCGTTTACTTCCTCTCTCGCGGCACACTATTCGATGCTTGTGCTTGTGCCTGGTCGCTCACTCTGATCTGGCGCATCTCATCAAACGCCCACGAGCACTGGCCGAACTGGCGAGATCAAGTGGACCCCCAGATCCTTCCACTTACTATTGGAGGTGTACTGCTTGTTCTGGGAGCCAAAGGATTTGAACTCGTCAATCCGAACTGATGTTACTCTCTTCCGTACCGGACTATAACAAGGACTGGACTGATTGATGCCAAATATGTAGTAGTATCTACGAGGCTTATATCGCCGTAATGAAGGTCGGCCGGTCGATGGACGCATATGTCATGGTGGATGTGCCGTCGAAGATCATGCGCTCCTACAGCGTTCCCGGAGGTAATGGATGACACGCTTGAGCTTTAATATACTTCCCACTAACGCAATGGAACATTGTCCCACTTTGTGGGTAGAGCGACACTTTCACAGTGACATCAAGTTGCTGAGGTACTTTCTCCTCGGGCTAGGAGTAGTCATATTCAACGATCGTGCGATGCTGCGTCTCGATGCTCGCGACGGCTAATGGCGAAGCTGTCCGAGCAACAAGGGCCTGGAGATATAAAGAGACGTKCGCTCACTTCGGTAGAGACTCAGTCTACTCTCACCTTTCCGGAAATATCCACCCTTTGCATCCATCCTCCACCATCCTAACTAAGCACACCACACGCGATGAAATATTACCGCGCTTATACCACCTTTGTGGTTACCTACTGTCTAAGCGCTTTCGTTGTGTTGGCGTTTCCTCCCATGCATCGCAGCCACTGTAGGAGCACTCATATAACCATCTTGGCTGGCATTCGGACCACTAGGAATGGCCAGAGTGGGAGGCTGCTCCCTCAACGTCGTGACATTGGTGACCATCAGGTGTRGCATCAGATTGAGGATGGTCAGGTGCTTGACTTTTTCGATATTTCTGCTTTGAAACGTGGCGTTGAGCACGCTGTCTGGGACAACAAAGGTGAGCTTCAAGGCTGTTCAGAGGCAGTATACTRTTCTAATGTGTTTGATTTGCACTCCAGGCAACGTGTACACTGCAACCAAGCATGCGATTACGGACGACAACGTTTTGACAGTTCATCTGGGTGGCCATTTAGCCTCAGAACAAGGTCACCGAGTTGTGAAGCGCGCAGAAAAGCTAGCGAGTCGAGCTGATGCCAGTGTTGATAGTATTTCAGCGTCCTGGAGCTGTAAGTTGGGCTGAACGACTGACGCTTCTAAAACAACTACGTGCTGACAAACCAATATAGACACAGGCTCTGCCTTTGATAGTTATGGACAAAGTGACGCGGACAAGGATGGTCAACGATTTTATTATGACATGTTCGTCGGCGAGAACCGTGACCAGATCACAGGTCCATTCGACTGCACTACCCTTAGAGCACCTAATGGGGACAATGAGAAGATCAACATATCTCTTACACCGCAAGAAAAAGGCCTCACCACGGAGATCGAGCCAGCTTGCGGTGCCTGAATTCGTTGATGCCATGGTGGGCACAGTTCGAGTTGTTTCTACCATAAGCCACTCATCCATCTGATTGGTGAATGTACATGGAAATCGAGGTTCTGTTTCCATATGTTTGATTGGTCGGCTCATCAAATGCGTGGTAGTGCTACAGAGGTCGACATCAGTGAGGCGTGGTACTTGCACATACATAATAGCATCTCAGCTAGCTACACGTTCCTTGGTGCACGGAATGAAGCAACATTATGACCGATTACTCTCATTCTACTAACTTGCTCAACTATGCACAGTTCCTGGATACGGCACTGATACATTGATGCGGTTTCAATTGGACAAAATGACCCGGAGGCGCATAAATGTTGTTCCTAAGTATGCACTGCATAGCTTGCTACGCTAGGACTCACTCACGTTACAACAAAACAATGTCTGCTCAGCTGACTTGACAGTCATTCACTTACGGATGGCTTTCTTCAGCTCATCCAGATCCGTGGCTTCGTACTCCTTTTGTACACCAGCGAGACGTCTCCTGAGTGTATCTCTAGAAGAAGCCAATATCATCTTGCTCTACATGCACAAGATTTATTCAGTCCCCAGTCCGCACCTTGAGAGGGAGAGGGGAGCCATGAAAAAAAAAAACTTACCCTCATATTTGCCCCATCTGCCGGGAAATTGATGAAAAGAATCCTCTCCGCGGTGGTGGAGTAGACGGCATACCGACATTCATCTGTCGGAAACGCTGCGATGAAATCTTCATCCGAGGCGTTCGATGGTCCGGTCTTGTCTACCACGATACTGCTGGATTGAGTATTGACTTTGTAGAGGATGTATTTGTACGCCTTCTTCAACTTGAGCTGTTCGAACTTGGCGATGCAATCGTCGGTGACTCTTTGTATGATTAGTCGTTGCTGGTATGAAGATGCTTTGGAAAAATTCACCCTATCTGCTTTTTGGATCAGCATACCGAACTCATGGGATAGGTATGCGATATAGTACCTGATATGCCATTGCGAATTGTCTGTAGAAAACTTCTTGTCGGCTCGTGTTTGGAGGTTACGGAGGCAGTGGATTAGAGTAGAGCGACGGCATTGCTCCTTTACATACCCTTAGCAATCCTCACGCTTTGAGTTAATGCAGATTGGAGACACCCAACTTGATGATTCAAATACGGGACGTTTTCCATGCATGTGTTCGGTGATCCGTCAACTATTTCCCCCCTTGTTACTCCGGCTGGAAGAGATAACAAAAAAACAACAGTCTTACCAATCATCAATGCCATCCAGATGCATAGTGATGTAGTGGCTCTGCAGTGCATCACGCCACAGTGCTGCCGGACCATATATCCGGCTTGCATGCATTGATCTGTTGTGTCACCTACTTCACCATGGAATGTCTTTTTTCTAGATATACCGCCTGTGGACCGTGGATTGATTCATACAAGATTCAAATACCTACCTGCAGAGAGCTGTCATAATGCAGTCTCGGAATGCAGACTCACATGGAATAGAGGATCCCCGGTACTCGCCCGATCGTCAGTGAGTTTCAGAATGGTGCTTCTAATGGCCGTGTGACTATTAATACTAGTAACTATCCAGGAGGAGGAGCAGCTCGTGCTATGGACAACTGACAGCTTTCGAGTTGTTCTTACCAGGCAGAACAACTCACTGGTCTCAAGCCTCTTACGACATGGCTACATCCAACGATGCTAGAGCAAGTCGGTCCAGATATGGTGATTCAGAYGACAGGTCCTTGCTCAAGTGTCATCAACTCGTTCAGATAGCCTCGTGTCATACGAGATGCATTTCATCCCTCGCCGACGAAACGATCCACCTCATTCGCATTTGGAGTCGTGCCACGCCATGGCATTGCCATCCACCTTTCTCCCGTCCTCCAAGACCTTCTCCGTCTTCTGAACATGCCACAAGACGTAGCCATATACGACATCGCAAACAAGACTTGTGACCCACAAGAACATGGCAAATGGCGACACAAAGTACTCGTGAGCCTCCGTCCAAAAGTACCATCCCCAAGCATAGTTCAAATACAAACCAATGATGGAGCCCAGAGTCCTAGTCGCCCTGTCGAATTACCAGATCTCGTCAGCAGCAAAAACATACTCCTACATGAAGAGCCCGATGAAAGAACATACCAAATACTCCAATTTACACCCCCAGAATGCTGCCTCACCAAAATCTGACATAGACTCGCCACCGACAAATTCAACTGACAAACAGCAGCACTCCAAAACCCCAACTCCGTCGTATCAGGCCCCACAACCCCCTTATAAAACTTGCCCTCACGCCTCCCAATATCATTATCAATCCACCACTTAGCAAAAGTCCAATGCCCTACTACACAAACAACAATCATACCTCCCAGAATCACAACCATATTCCGCGCCACCCACGGTGATGAGCGCCGCCACTCAAACCTCGCATGCCGCAACATGCCCACAACCATCCCACAATCAATCCCCAACCAAATAACAAAGACGCACTYCTCAAGCAGCGATTCCGCCACGTAAAACGCATAGACGACTTCCCAGGCGAAATTCAACGCGAGAGCAAAGAGTGGCATGCCGTAGGATTTGGAGCGGAAGGATTCTTGCACGTAGAGAATGTAGCAGATTGTCCAGAGGACGCCGCCGATTTGGAGGAGGAGGTTGCTGATGGGGACTACGTGAGAGGGTATGTGAGGGGGAGGAATGTCGTTGGAGCCCATTTTTTCCTGCTGGGTGAGTTGTGATTTTTCTTTTGGTGGGTTCTTCGGAACATCTTTGTTGCTTGCGTGTAAGCGTCGACATTTGTTCTCGTTTAAGGGGGTGACCCCTGCTTGCCAAGTCCGGCTAATGCCGGCGGAGGAAGGGGTGGGCGTCTTACATATCTTCTCCTTTTTTTCGAGAAACTGTTACGGATTGTAGTAATTTGCGCCCTAGAACTCTCTGTTCGCTCTTCTCTTCTTCTTCAAGTTAGCAGGTGACGTCTATATTTAAATCTAGCTCAAGCATAAGTACCACGGCAGGACTGGAGTGAGTGTGCTAGGTAGGTTCTTGACTTCCGTGCCAATAATCCTGCCATGACTCCCGTCTTTCGCTTTTGCTCGTATGGTATAGGTAGGTTGACTTGGAGCGCTTCGATCGCACAGCTTGGTCACAAATGCCCTGATGCGGAAAAGCAACGCCTGCTGTCACTCCAAAGTCCAAGGACGCCCGCTTCCTGCAACACCGTGTATATGTAAATCGGTCTAGCAATGATCGGTCCACCATACCTCAAGAAAGGCAGCCATTCGCGATCGCATCGACTGGACCAATCACACCGAGGCAGCGGCACAGCGTCTACCGGGCCAATCAGGCCGAGGTAGTCACAACCTAGCGACGGGACAATCTACTAGCAACTACCCTATGGTCTAGCAGCAATTACCGTGGCGGATACGAGGCTGTCCGAGGCTAACGCACCTGCCCGATAGTTAGCTTATATTATACTATAAATAAGGCCGTGCGCGGGCGCGTCTATCTCTTTCTTACGGTCGTATATAATAACCGTCTAAAGTGAATATTCGTCTATCTTATCCTTATTAATTGCTTACTAATCTACGTGTTATCGATAGCGTTACTCCTTTAGGCCTATTAGGCCTTACTATAGAGCGAAAGGCCCTCGCTATCGCTACCGCTTCCGCTCTTACGGCTACCGCCCTTACGGCTACCGCCGTTATCTTAGGCTCGTTTCGAACGCTTAATCCTCGGTTATCGTAGTAGTAGTAGCCGTAGTAGTAGTAGTAGTAAAAATAATGGATCTAGTAATAATATTAGCGATCGTTCTAATAAAACGGATAAGGATAAAGATAAAGATAAGGATAAARTAGATAAGGATAAAATAGATGAAATTAAGCCTCTAAGCCTCCGAGCTATMTAGCCCTCTAAACGCCGGTAGCCTACCTATATAGCGGTTATTAAGTACGCAGATACATAGTCTAAGGCTTAAGGATATATAGTTAGTACTACGAAGGCTATTAGAAGCAAGCGGAAGGATTCGAACTATATTAAGAGCCGTATACTAGTATATACGTATAGTAAGTAATACGGGCGACTAATAGTAAGACGCGAGTAAGTAGTAAGAACTAGAACAAGTACCTAAACTAAAGAGCTAGGTAGAGTATCGAAAGGTCGAGACGACTAAGTTAAGCCGTACTAACTTATTATATAGGGTAGCTATATAGGGAAAGTGCGGAGAAGCGGAGAAGCGGGGCTTCCCGTAACATTACCCCC